CACGTCTAGGTGTTGGACAAGTGACAAAAACCCATCATGCACATTCCAAATATTTACAAAAATGTGTCATTGTAATATTAGTCAGTATGGAAGAATTATCCTCGGGGAAATATGGCCATGCTTTTTTTCTATCCCTACACAACTTCAGGGCACACACAGAATGGAATTAGAAGTTTTTGAATGCCTCCATTTGTGATTTTCACAGAACGCAACAGCTTGAGATCACACTTTTTTTTTTCAAATGCAAAGCCCCTTTCTCTTCAGAAATCAGAAGTGACTAAATTACCTTCTAGCAATCTTTTTTTCCTATAAGGAAATATGTCATGGGAAAGCTGTATTTATTGTTGTTGTTTCAATATGAACTGGATAACTGAAGAATTAGTTAACCAAATTGAAACTTGAAATCAAGATGGTGAAAGAATCCCTCTGCGTAACTTGGAGGCAGGTTTTGTTCAGAGCCTGCACATATGCCTCCCCGGTTGACCCCAAGAGGTCATACAGCAGAGGTTCCACGAATTCATCCCCCCTCTAAGGTTCTTCTGAACATTTAGGAACCGGAGAGACTGATGGAGTAAGAGTGGAGGAGGCCTTGCAAACTTGTATAGTATGTAATGTTGTGTATATATATTTATATGGCTCTGGAACAAATAAAATTTAACTCCCACCATGCATTCAGTATTTGGATCCTGGACCACACAAGGCAGGATTCCCTGCTGGAATCAGCAGGCTCCAGGCTAGCTGAGTCTGAACTGGCCAGCGCCTGAGACAAGAATGGATTTCTCTTTTAAGCAGCAGCAATAAAGGATCCCCTAAAAGGTGCTTTGGTTGTGAACTTCTTTTGGAAGCAGAAATGCTTGGGGCGCAACTTTCCAGGTCTCCCAATAAATGACCATCAAACACAAACATCTGAACTACAAAAGCAAAGGGTGAGGCAGGAGAGTATCTCCTCGCTAGCCAGATTTTTACTTCACTTCCTATTTCCTTAAGTGGAAACCACTTCAAAGCGGTTCAATAAGCTTTTTTTGGTTTGAACTTTTATCTGGCTGCCCTTGAAAATCTTGTTTGCTTTCTGCCTTGCTTTGAGAAGGGGAGATGCTGAGAAATAGATGAATGAAACCATTACTACCCAATCTCCCTGTTGCTTCCTGACCAAGGCTGTGCGAATGTTCACCTCACCAGTAGTTCCTATGTCAGCAAATAGTGTCTGGTCAGATATCTGCAAAACTACTTTGAGGAGTCTGCCTTATTCTGTGGTTCAAACAGTCAAGGAGTCAGATGAATGGACTCTCCTGCATCATTCCTCAATCTGGCCCCCTTTCCACACCGCCCCCAACTGTTCCAAGTCCAGATACCACTTTCTGCCTTGGGTGTGCTGGGGTCTGCTGTGGGATGTCCTGTATGCTGTGAATATATGTTGCTATGATTGGTTGATAAATAAAAACACCGATTGGCCAGTAGCCAGGCAGGAAGGATAGTGTAGGCGGGACAAGGAGAGAGGAGGCGGCTGGATGGAAGAAGGCTGAGTCAGGAGATGCTGCCAGCTGCCGCGATGAGTAGCAAGATGTAAGTTATCAGTAAGCCACGAGCCACGTGGCAAGGTATAGATGAATAGAAACGGGCTGAGTTTAAGCGTAAGAGCTAGACAGTGGTGGGCCTGAGCTAATGGCCAAGCAGTTCAATTAATATGGGCTTCTGAGTGATTATTCTATAAGCGGTTGTGAGGTCCATGGGGCTGGGCAGGACTGGAGAAAACTCCAGCCACAGGGGGCTCACTCTCAATAGCCAGGCTTCTATTCTGGAAGCTCAGTTGCATTACTCACAACAGATAGGCCCTACTTCAACTCCTGCTCCTGGATAAAATCAGAACTCAAGGTTCCCTTCCTCCTGAGCCTCTAGGCAAGTCCGCACAGCACTGCTTTCCACAGCACCCTCTACTACTTCAAAGTCCTCATCCTAGATGGAGATTTTGTTGTGATTTTGGGTCGCTGTTTAATGAACACTTAGTGCCTAGACGGTAAGACTCTTGAGGGCAAAGACCACATCTGCTTTATTTACTGTCCTACCGTCTGTCTCCACACACCTGAACAGCGTCTGTCAATGCTAGGTGCGCAAATGAATGTTTGTCAAATGAGGGATGTATTTTTGCCAGAGTACTACCCTTAAAAATTCTCACTGCACTGAGCAGCGTGTGGGCATTTATCGGTTTGCTCCGGAACACCGTCATGCGGTTCTCAACACTGGGGCATATTAGGATCACCAGGAAAACCTTCAAAAGCACTGCCTGAGGCCTCGCTTCAGATCAACTCAATAGGACTCATTGAGAGCAGGACTGGGCAGGTCTGCAGTAAAATGTGGCTGGGAAGACAGCCCTTGATTTCGGAGAGTGTGTCCTGCAGGTGCCCCTCCAGCTGAACTGCTAAATGCCTTTGACCATTCTCCGCTAGAGTAGTTGCCAGAAAAGCAACTCCTCAATGCCAGGAATAGTGTCTTAATCATTTTCTCTTCTAGCCACTAACTGGTACACAGGAAATCTGGATGTTAAGCATGTATATGTGTTATTTGCTGTACATAATATATTAATAATATAAGAATCATACATATCTGTGATATTGTATTCCTCCAAATATTGTGCATGCTAATAAACTTATCTGGGGTCAGAGACAGAGCAGCCACAACATTAAACATAAAAGATAGGCAGTGGTAGCACACACCTTTAATCCTAGCATTCCAGAGGCAGAAATCCACATGTTCAAGGATACAGACAGGCATGGTGACTTATCACGCCTTTAATCCCAGAAAGCAAGCCTTTAATCCCAGGGAGTGGTGGTAGGAAACAGAAAGGTATATAAAGCGTGAGGACCAGAAACTAGAAGCATTTGGCTGGTTAAGCTTCAGTCTTTCGAGCAGCAGTTCAGCTGAGACCCATTCTGGATGAGGACTCAGAGGCCTCCAGTATGAATGAGGAAGCAAGACCAGCTGAGTATCTGGCGAGGTGAGGTAGCTGTGGCTTGTTCTGTATCTCTGATCTTCCAGTATTCACCCCAATAACTGGCCTCAGGTTTGATTTTATTAATAAGACTCTCTAAGATTCCTGCTACACATATCTTTAAGTCAATGGCTTTTAAATAACTGGACACCTAAAGAGATAACCCTTTCTAGAAGAATATATGCCTACATTTAAGAAGTCTCATGATCAGTACAAGGGCTGCAGCTGTAGAAACATGGTGCTCAACTCATTTTGCTAACAGGCATCACATGTCAGATAGAAATGAAAATTTGAGTGAAAGATAAATGGACTCCATTGCTTGCCTTCAAGCCATAGGTCCCGTCTTTTGTCATGGAAAGAGATTAAAATTGTTCAACACATACTGAGTTTCATAAAACCATACTGTTCCTCTCCAGGATCTAGCATGCCTCTGGACATAGCATAAGTAGTTTGAAGATCTGATCTACAATCCTTATATCAAATTAGAGATAAACAAACTACTCTTGCTGATCAGGTTTCCTTTAGTTCCCTTTAAAAATGATATTTATGTTTATACACATATACACACATGTACACACACACACACACACACACACACACACACAAGCACACAAACACATCTTTCAGTCCTTTAGGACTTTCTCCATCTTTTAAGAATCCTAAAATAATAACAGGATCCTCATCAGAATGTCTCCTAAAATGAATTATCTGGAAAAATTTATAATTTGCAATCTGCTTCATTATTTACTTCCCAGTGATTCCCCCATCTGATGTACTCCTTCTAATCGGTGTCATTCAATACAGAATTGATTTAACATTTATTTTTCTACAAACTGAGCATAGCAATTTTCCCTTGAGAACAAACCCCGCCATTTAACTGCTTTTCCTTCTGCAACATTAAATGTGATATTAATAATATCTTATGAGCATAAAGTAATTTTAAAATTCATTAGATGAACAACCTTGAAACCAAGATCATATATTTTGTGGAGAATTGGCCTAGAATTACCCTGCCAAAAGGTAGTAATTTAGGGTTGTGCCTGGTTTTTTTTCAGAATTTAAAATTTTCTAGGAAGACGTGTTGTCTTCTATAGCAGCCTAATTGTCAACATTTGAAGCACTGTAGCTATTGCAGAGTAATAAAAATTATCTAAGTCCTCCAATCTTAACCCATCTCCCATTAGGCCAGAATGAACAGATCTTTAAAAATATAGGTTACACTTTTATCTCAAAAATCACTTTATTTTTCACCTAAGAGAAAAGCCTTTCTGGAGTTACATTCCACCCTCACCTTACTCCCCGCCACCACCATTACAACCCACAAAAGCAAGAATAGAATAGGAGCATCGGGACTGTTAAGCGGGGCTCGCTTAGGGTAAATAGTCAGCAGTGAGCACCGCCCACCTGCTCAGACCTGTTGCCTGCACCTCACGGGTGGGTCCGCTGTCAGTGCTAACTATCTGCCTTCTTTCCACTGAGATCCCAGAAGGCTCGTGCCAAATAGAATGGTTTCTTTGACTGTTCCAAGGTTTCAGAGGTGTGGACTCCAAGCAAGCAACAGGCAGAACAAACAAACACATTTATGAAGAACCCACTTCATGTAAGTCACCAGGCTAGGTATCACGAGACTAGAAGACGATCGCTTCCTTAAGCATTTAACAGCCCCATATGCTTGAAGCACCAAGGCTGGCACTTGAGTCACTGTATTCAGAGGGAAGTAACATAGACTCCAAAGGAGAAACAGAAACGAACATGTTTTGAGAGGGCAACAAGAGGGGTGACCACGTAGAGTAGGGAGACTTGAAAGGGCTTCTTGGACAAAGTGGACATCTGAGGTGAACTTTACTTAAGGGTGAATTTTGGTGAGAACTCTGTGCAAGATGCTGTCAGCAGCTGGCAAGCATGAAACAGGAAAAAGACTGTGCCTAATGTGATGAAGACTTCTTCCTGGCTGGATCTGGGCAGGTAATTTGTGTTGTGTGCTCTAGAAACCATGATAAGGAGATTGGACTTACTGTGTCAACAAAGGGAGGCGACTGACAGATGTGTAGGAGAAGCAGTCAGATGTCCGTTAGGGGAGGTAGGAGGAAGGCGATTGAGAGTGAGGTAGGGACCTGCAGCAAGAAAATATGCCAGAGTTCAGGGGACTAAGACTGGGCCGCCTACATCACATAATACCCAAAGAGAGAAAAGGATAAACGAGACCTCCAAATTCATTATTGCTGCTGTTATTGCATTAGTCATACACACACACACACACACACACACACACACACACACACACACACACACACACCAGGGCAAATGCCTTCAAATTTTCACTTTGTAAGCCAGTTTCTGGGACTCAGGTGGTGTTCTTCAGAGGTTAAGAACACTGGCTGTTCTTCCAGAGGTCATGAGTTCAATTCCCAGCAACCACACGGTGGCTCACAACCATCTATAATGAGATCTGGTACCCTCTTCTGGCGTGCAGGCATACATGCAGGCAGAGCATTGTATTTGCAATAAATAAATTTTTTAAATGTCCTTTAAAAAAATAAGTCAGTTTCTATATGTCAGAATAAAAATTTCTTTTTCATGCGAAGTTGAAAGTCATTTCCAAAGTTTCCTTTTGCCGAAAGGCTCAGGAGGGTTCATAGGTGACAGAGCTAGATGGCAGTTGTGGGAGAGAGTAGCATTTAAAAGGCTGATGAATGAGAGATGCCAGGGATGACATCAGCATCGAGGTGATGAAAAGTCCAACAGCAATTTGGCTGACACGAAACTAGATTCCCAAAAGATGTATGTATAAAGCTCAGCTCATTAAAAGTGAAGTCTCAATGAACTTCTGATGTGTGCTGTAACATGGCTGGACCGCTAGGACATTATGCTAAGTGAAATAAGCCAGTCACCAAAGGATGAATAGTTTATGATTCCATTGATATATGAAATTTCTAGAGTAATAAATTCATAGAAAAAGGAGGTAGAATGGTGATGTCCGGGTCTGAGGGAAAGAGGAAAGGGAAATTCTTGTTGAACAAATACATATTTTTCATTTTGAAGTCATAAACGAGTTCTAGAGGTGATGATGATGGTTGGAAATGAACGTGAATGTCCATGCAGAAAGAGTTGAATGGTAAATGTTTTATACACACATATATGCACATGTACATAATGGAAATGTATATTGCTAAGAGTAAAAGGTTTAATCTACTTGGTGGTTTTTTTTCTGTTTGTTTTTTGGTTTTTTGGGTTTGTTGTTGTTGTTGTTGTTGTTGTTGTTGTTGTTATAATACTAACCACTAGCTTTACCCATTTTTAGGGAGCAATTTCACATTAGTGGCCTGACTTTCACACCTAGGGGTTGGCATTTCTGCCTGACTTGAACAAAGGGCTCTGAGAAGGTTGCTTGGGGTGGAACCAGAACAAACAGGCTGAGTCCCAGCAGGGAGAGTGGGCCAGTGTCTACATCTGATACAGGAAGGTGTCTGCAAGGAGTCTCATGCTTCACATCAGCCAGCCCCGGCACCCTGGCTTAATAGAATGTATCTGACCAAAGTCATTTTTCAAGGCACAATTCATCAGAGTCAGGGATCCTGTGAGACAATATGACTAACTCGTCAGCAGCTATCAGAGGGGATGATTAAATCTAAATGACTCACAGAGAAAACAGAAAAAGAAAAACATCGGAGAAGATTTCTACAGGATCAAAGTCTTCAGGTTTAAAATGAAATTTCCCTGCACCAGCCCAATATGTATTGTCCTTGGTATAAATGCTTTCGGTCTCAATGACGGTAGAAAGCCACCTGATAATACTACTTCTCTTCTTTGGTTGTCATTTTATATGCGAGTCCGTGGGACTAAATGCACCAGCAGAGGAGGAAAGAAATCAGTATGAAGAAAAAGAAGGGGCGGGGCGGGGCGGGGATGTTGAGAGGAAGGGGGAGTCACCACGGAAGAAGACAGGTATGAAATGGTATCATAAGAAGGACAAAGTTCACAGGAGTCCTGCACGGTGGATCCTAAGAACATGTACAAAAGCCACAGGAAATGTTTTTGGATGTGCATCAAAGTATGCAAGATGCATGGGGGAGATTTAAAGACAGTGCTGAGGCCTGAGGGTATTTTTGCTAGCAGTTTGTCTCTGCTCAGTGACCAGAAGGGAGATGGAGTTCCCTCACAAAACTCAGCTCAGTGTCCTAAGTTAGGCTTGGGGTTTGAATTTATACTTCAGGGGCTCCCACTGTAAAACAGAGACAGAAAAATGTAGTTTTAAGGCAGCAACACTCTTGGCTTCTCTGGTTCGATAAATGCAAAAGCATTAGGGTCGGGCAGACACACTGAAGTGGAAGGAGATCCCCACAATACAAGAGGCTTCACTGGAGGTGAGACAGGCCTAGGGTTCTAAAATGGGACCCAGAAATCGACTGCCAGGGAAAAGTTTTCAAATGGCTAAAGCCACTGAAACACAGAATAGGAAGTGGAAAAGCCCCAGGCTGACACATGATATTGGTGGTCCCCACAGCCACCAATATCATGTGCTGAAGAGCATTCTACACCACTGAAGAGGTAACACATTTAGTCTCCACAACCACATGGTTCTTGGTGTACGTGAGATAGTCTTCCCATGTGTAGATGAAGAAATGGGACCAGAGAGGTCAAGTAACTGACCTCTGGTCACAGAATTATTACTGGCACACAGGTTTTTATGTTCTTGTTTTTTGTTTGCTTGTTTGTTTGTTTGTTTTCTGTTTGTGTTTCCCCATCGTAGAGGGTCTTAAGTATTACACTAATCCAAGGACCAAACTTCATTTCTAAATAAAATTTCAAAATTATAAAATTTGTAGTCTTAAAGACTAATTGACAAGTAAGTTAAAAATCATAGTAGACACAACCAAAACAGGGATTGGTAACGGGTAGAATCGAGCTGGGAACGTCTGAGCTACAGGGAGACGGGGACAAAGGCAAATCTCAAGAAGCAGCAGAGATGGAAGAGAGAGAGCCAGCCGTTTCTGAAGGAGTCACAGAGACGAGGTTCGAGTGCTGCTGGGTGACCCTCTGACAGCCGTTCATTTCCACTTCCAAGTCAGGTATTATTTCATTTTAATCAGCCACAAAAGGAGAGTGATTTGAAAATAGACCTTACACACCAAGTTTGGAATAGTTCAATAATGAGGCAGTTTTGGCAAGGCTTTGCTTTAAATATACTGTGAAGGTAAGCATTACAGATTAACACAGTGTTTAGAAAATGTCAAAGAAGTGAGTGCAAATTGTTTTTTAAATTGTTTATAAATATTAAGAATCTTAAGCATATGTGGTGCTAAGCAATATTGGCATATCAGGGGAAATGTGTAAAATAGAAGGGAAATAAGACAACTAAACTTTCCTACATATAAAATCAGAAATTCTCTGGGAAAAAAAGATATTTGATAAAATTAGTGAGGGCTATGGTATCATTATAAACATGGGTTTATCACAGTGGAGTGACTTTAGACCCTGACTATGGACTATGCATCTCAAAGAAGCAAGAAAGGAAAAAGTACTTTTACTGTTTTCATGACCAAGTTGACCATGTCTGAGGACATAGCAATGCTGACCCTAATTTGAACATTGCACGATGTCATTGCGCATTGAAACACCAATGATGGCCACAGAGATCTACAATATTGGTCACTAAAAAGCTGGGGTATGGCTTAGTGGGTGAAGGGTTCGCTGTGTAAGCCCGAGAAACTGAATTCAGGTCCCCAACACCCATAAAAATCCAGCCATAGTGACGTGCACTTAATCCCAGTTCTTGGGAGTCAGAGACAGGGCCATGCTTGGAGCTCATTGGCCAGGCTGGCTGGTCAAATCCCTGAGCTCCAGATTCAGTGAGAGAGCCTGTCTCAAAAACTAAGGTGGAGAGCGATTACAGAAGAGAGCCTAACATTGACTCTCTGGCCTCCATACACAAATGCACCCTTGCCCATGCATGCCTACACACACACATACACAAGCCCACATGAACATGTATGCACAGCACACACACAGACTCACAGACACACAGCCACTGCATGCAGGGAAAAATAGCTAATGAAAAATGTCCCTAAGAAAACTAATCTTAAAGAAACATTGTATTGGGTGGGGGAACTTTCTGGAAGGCTGATAGCCTGGAGGCTGACTCTGTGTGCTGTGGTGGAGCTGAAGAATCAGAACCAAACAAAATAGACTCTTCCAAAATCAAGATGAGAGGGAGCGCTTCAGAAAGTCACAATGGCAATGATAACAGAAAAGTGGGGGGAAACAGACGGGTTTAACAGCGTGTGCAGGAAACTAAAATGAACGGCTACACACAGTTCCCTCTGTGTAGCACCCCAGTGGGAAAGGGAACCAAAAGTCCTCCAGAAAGTAAGTCAGGAGACCCTCGTGCAAAGAGACTGGCAGTCCTACTCACAGGAGAAGCCACCAGCCTCCACAAGCCTCAGAGCCAGCTGCAAGTTTTGCCCAGACGGCGCTTCTTCCAGCAGCTGAGTCAGCCAGCAGTGGAGAGCAATCCCACTCTGTCTCTCTCTGACTTGATATGCAGAGATTGGGTGCCATCTTGAAAGACAAGCTATTGTCTGAAACTGAACTATCCTGGGGGGCCTAAGGAGAGGGCACAATCACAAACCAGGCTGCAAGAGGCAGTCCTGGGAGACAGCTGTGAAGACTGGGCAGGGCCACGGAGGCTGGCAGGTGGCCGGTGGTTTGTCCCAGGCACTAGAGTGCATCGGTAAAATTTACCCCATTGGTGCGCACCTGGGACAGATACCACCGACTGAGATGAACTGAATTTGGTGGCTCTGGCCCCTTCTGAGTGGACAGATCAACTTCTGAGTATACTCCCAGAGTTAAATGTTGTAGAACTTGAAACTAGTAGCAGTGGTCACATGGCGTTCTTAGCTGGATCCCTCTAGCAGGGTGATTAATATTTCCAATGTCTTGAAAGGATTTGGACCAATCCTTTGCCTGTGCAGATAGGTATCAGTGCTCTGGTTGCTTCCCACAGTTACAACACAATTGGGAGAGACCAACAGCTATGACATTGGACAGTCCAGGGGTTACAATCTGGGGGGCATGTGAGGGCAAGAGAAATTGCCAAGCCCACAGGCTGCAAAGCTAAGCATGGCCAGAAGGTCCTGGTAATCAGAGAAGAGAAACATGAAGTATAGATAGATCTGGTGGACATTGGAACCTTGACAGGCTTAACACCAGCATGAGCCATGGGAGGTACAAGAACCCACAAGCTCCTCTGGCATGCCCTTGATATAGCATATAACTGATGGTCTCAAATTTTCAAGGATTCAGAAAGAAATAATGTCCACAAAGTAACATAAAATCAGAATCTAAATTGATAAAACCAGATAGTGACAAATATCTGAAAAAATACATTAAAATTTTAAACAGAAAAAAATGCCTAACTTCAATAAACTATAAACAAAATGGTTAAAATGAAAGCATTTAAATAGAATTATGAATCAGCTTGTACATAAGTACTGTTGAAGGTAAATGCAGGCATTTATTAGTTTATGAAGAATTGATGTGAAAGTTTCAAATCATCTTCCTGGAGATTAAAAAGTATAAAAGCAGCAGAGAGTTGGTATTCTGTTTTCCCTGAGGACTGGAAGATGCCTCTGATTCTACAGAGTCCAGCAGCGTGCGGACACGCTATCGTCCTGTGTTAAGATCAAAGTGGACTGGTCACTCAGCACTTACCGTCTTAGTTCCTGTGAGTTGCTCCCTTGGAACCTCTGCAGGGTTTGTCGGCCATCTACTCAGAGTCCATCCTCAAATGCATCCACAACCACGCAGCCGTTCTCCCACACAAACACATCAGGGGGCAGAAACAGCAGAATTCTGTGTGTTTTTCTCTTGGTTGATCAAATATTATTTCTGGGGTTTGACTGAGGTCTTTTCAAATGTCATTTCTTAAATTTTCTTCCATTGCTTCTTTGGCAAAATGTTTCCAGCTTTTCTCAAATTTCCTTAAAGTTTTCTTTATTTTCATATTTTGCCTGTGAGGAAAAGAAATGATGGAACTATTTAGTGAGGCTGATATAAAACCAAGGAAGTATGAACCCACAAGAGAAAATGATGCAAACACATGCCAGACAGAAGTCACTTTGGTTCTATGATTGTTACTGCAGTAGTACTATATACCAATAATAGAATTTTGGATAATGGAAAGTGAGCTGTGCTCTTTAGTGGGGAATAAAATAATCTTACAGTTGGTTCTTCTTACAGTAGAAATTATTGCTATGAAAATCAGTACTCAGCAATTATGGTGATCCTAGGAAAACTGGAATTTTCCCTTCTATTTTGTGAAGAGTGGAAACGGCAGGTGAGTAGATGAGCTATCAAGATGATGGGGTTATCTACAGAGGTCTCAGGCTGTGGTTGGTACATTAGAAAAGCTAGAAAAAGACCCTGGCCCATTGCATCAATGGCAGCAAACAGTGAAGCCCATTTGAGCTCCTTTAAGCAAGAAGACAAGCTTTAAAGGGTGTGAACGTTTCTAGAATTTCTGTGAAGGTCACAGAATCAGTGTTTAGGACTTTCCAAACAAAAATGCTCAATCTGCATCAGGAGACTGCTCCAGCGAAGACTCACTGGTCCCCAGCTAGTCCTACAAATCTTTGCTTACACCCACTGACCTGAGTACTAGGAACCACAGACTGAAGAATTATCACTCCCCAAAGCTGAAGGCCTACATCGCCACACCTATCAAAAGACATTCTCACTTTGTCATGCAGGTCTTTTATGAAGTCCTCAATTAGTGTTTCTGAAAATGAGACACTATGTCACAAGCTACCGTGGAAAATGAGCCTCTTGTTCTGAGACACGGATGTGTGATGTAGGATATTTATTGATTGTGAGTATGGTTTGGCTAGGCAGATAAATACCATCTATCAGTGGGATGCTTCCCATATAAATGTAGAGCTGGGGAAGGAGGAGGGCATGGATGTAGAGTAGGAGGAGGGAATGGATGCAGAGTGGGAGGAGGGTATGGAGGTAGAGTGGGAGGAGGGCATGGAGGTAGAGTGGGAGGAGGGCATGGAGGTAGAGTGGGAGGAGGGCATGGAGGTAGAGTGGGAGGAGGGCATGGAGGTAGAGTGGGAGGAGGGAGTGGATGTAGAGTGGGAGGAGGGCATGGATGTAGAGTGGGAGGAGGGAATAGATGTAGAGTGGGAGGAGGGAGTGGATGTAGAGTGGGAGGAGGACATGGATGTAGAGTGGGAGGAGGGAGTGGATGCAGAGTGGGAGGAGGGAGTGGATGTAGAGTGGGAGGAGGGAGTGGATGCAGAGTGGGAGGAGGGCATGGAGGTAGAGTGGGAGGAGGGCCACCTGCAAGCAGTCCGCTGTAAGAAGAATTGTTAAACGGTCTTATTAATAAAAAACCCGGAGTTAGATATTGGTGTTAAAACCAAGAGGTCAGAAAAGCGGAAAGAAGCAGCCTTATTCTTACCACTTGGAGATCCTCAGCCAAAGAAAGCTACTCCTGTATACCCACGCCTATATGCCTTTCTGTTCTGCATCTCACTTCCTCTCTCCGCCCAGCTACACCACTTCCTGTCTGTCTGTACAGACCTCCAGACCTCTATGGTTCGTGCTGGGATTAAAGGCATGTGCCACCATGCCTGGCTCTGTTCCCAGTGTGGCCTTGAACTCACAGAGATCCAGACGGATCCCTGCCTCCCGAGTGTTAGGACTAAAGGTGCGTGCTACCACTGCCTGACCTCCATGTTTACTATAGTGCCTGGCTTTTTCTTCTGATCCTCAGATAAACTTTATCAGGGTGCACAATATATTGGGGGACACTATACCACCACAGTCCGCTACAGGGCTTAGGGTAAGACAGGTGAGGTAGTGATGGGGGACAGGAACAAAAAAGAAAATCACCCACCTGAGTGGAAATCCCAGCCCAGTGTGGCCACTGGGGGTCCCAGGTGGAAGGCATTTCTAGGTATGGGGGCTGACAAAAGGAATAGGGTGGGCTAGCAGGGAGGGCTGAGAAGTTCCCCGGGAAGGAGCAAAGCTGGGTCCCCAACAAGGTTCTGGTGAAGTCTCCAGGTAAGAGGGCAGAACCAAAACAAGAAAATTCAAAATAAAAAAATGAACATTCCCCCCAACAAAATGGACAATTTAAAAATTATATTCCCTGTTTAAAAAAAAAAAAAAGCCCAGCAAACTGAATTCATCAGTATATTAAAAGTGTAAGCCATCAAAAGTAGAATTTCTTCTTGGATATAAAAAACAATCAATGTAATACAGCATATTTTAGAACAAAAAAGAAAAATGCATAACTAAATTGATACAGAAATGGCATTTGACAAAGTTTAACATTGTTTCATAATAAAAAACAGTAAGATTAGAAGGAAACGTCTATGATACAATAAAGGCTGTCAGTGAAAAACTCACCACTAGTAGTCAAGACAACCTAGAAAATTAACAGTGTTGGGAGTACCACAATTCGTGATCTCAAAACACAAAGTGAGAGCAATCCAACAATGCAATGCTGGCCTACAGAGAGATACATGAAACAGGTGAAAAAGAATGCATAATTAGCCTACAAAAAAAAACCACCCTCACGTATACGACAAATGATTTTTGACAAGGGAACTAAGAGACATCAATGGAATAAGGACAACATTCTCAACAAACAGTTCTGGCCAAACTGGGCAGTCACCTGTAAAACAATGCACTCTCACCTTCAGCATATAAAAAATAACCCAACTCTAAATGGACTAAAGATATACACGTGCTGAAACTATAAAACCCTTAGAAGAAAATAGGGAGACAGTATTGTGACACTGAATTTGGTAAGGATTTGTGACATGTGACACAGAAATACACAAGCAACAAAGAAGGAGGGAAAGAAGGGAGGAAGGGGGGAACAAAGGAAAGAAGGAAGGAAGGAAGGAAGGAAGGAAGGAAGGAAGGAAGGAAGGAAGGAAGGAAGGAAGGAAGGAAAGGAACAACTTGAACATCATCAAAAAACAGCTAAACCACAAGATACTACCAGCAAGGTAAAAATCTAAAATGCAAGGAACTGGAGAAAATATTTGCAGACCATTTATCTGATAAAGGATTCATGTCTAGAAAATGGAAATGTCTCCTACTACTTTAGGACAACAATGCCAGACAAATGGCCTAATTTACAAATGCATAAATGACTTGAATATGTATTTCTTCAATGGAGATTTACAAATGAACAGGAAGTACCTGAAAAGATTCTCGGTGTTATTAATGAAGGAAATGCAAGTTGAAATCACAATGAAGCATCAGTACACCAATGCACACCCACCAGGATGGCTATTGTTTAAAAAAGGGTGGGGGAAGAGGGTAGAATAACATGTGATGTGAAGGATATGAAGAAAATGGAACTTGTGAGCGTTGTTGCTGGGACTGAAAAATGTTGAGGGCACAGTGGGAAAGAAACATGTTAATTTCTCAAGCAGTAGATGTAAAAGTAGTACATCATCTATCAACATTCATGGGTATAGTCTCAAAAGAACTGAAACAAGGGATTCAAACAGACAACTAGCTATATATCAATATTTATAATAGCTCTATGCAAAATGTAATATACATGCAATAGAATATTATTCTGCCTTAAAAAAGAATACAGTTCTGATTCGTGCATGATGCAGATGAACTAAGGGAGCATTATGGTAAATAAAATAAGCCTGCCAAATACCCTCCTCACACAAATAAATTATGCATGATTCACTTACATGATGTATTTAGAGTACACAGATTCACAGGGCTAAAACCTAGAGTATTGGCTGCCAGTGGCTGTAGCACAAATCTTAAAAGGTCTTATTAATAAAATCAAACCTGAGGCCAGGTATTGGGGTGAATGCTGAAAGATCAGAGAAGCAGAACAAGCCACAGCCACCTCACCTTGCCAATTCCTCAGCTGATCCTCTTTCCTCAGACTGGATGCCACTCAGCTGAACTGTGCTGCTCAAAAGGCTAAAAGCTTATCCAGGCCTAGTTCCTGGTCCTCACACCTTATATACCTTCCTGCCATCACTCCCTGGGATTAAAGGCGTGAGTCACCATGCCTGGCTGTTTCCAGTGTGGCTTTGAACTCAGAGATCCAAATGGCTCTCTGCCTCTGGAATGCTAGGATTAAAGGCATGTGTGCCACCATTTTCTGGCCTCTATATCTAGTGGCTGTTCTGTTCTCTGACCCCAGATAAGTTTATTAGGGTGCACAATATTTTAGGGAACACA